AAAATGTGTGCAAATGAAAGTGTTTAAAAAATGTTCACTTTTTTATTTTGTAGTATATTYATGAATTGCCTTTTCATATAAATTAAATGCCTTTTTTGCCTTTTTTTACATTTTAAATGCTTTTTTTATTGATTATATTGCCTTCAAATCCGAACCCTGGTAATAAAAATATCAATTGCCGATTGACAATCGGTGTATTATCATAAGTTCATAACAATATAATATAATGCGATACTAAACCCTTTGTAATCCTGAAATTCCCACGAATGCACCAATACAAGTCTAATTAGGAAGTTAAGTATCGTTCAGAGACATAATATTAAATGTTCTACGTATGTGTCAAGTCGACCASAATTTTGTTTTAACATATCAAACTCATGTTGAATAATATTATGAAGAGTTTGAAGATTTTAATTTTACAACAAACTGACAATRCAATAAACAATTTATACATTTACATATACATGTATTACGTCATGTTATTTACCTCATTTAATATTGACGTTTAATAATTAGTATTTAATTTATTTTTAAAATAATGCTGTTGATTCCTTATTCAAATAATTGTATCAATTATTACCGCTAACGAATCTCATAGAAAAAACATTAATATCTAAGGACTTACGGATGATCAAACTTTATACTTGTATCGATTTGTTTACGTGTACTGTTAAAATTTTAACTCATACCCATTTACATAATTACATACGTATGACATCTGTTTTGTTCAACCGTAACGCATATTGTATTGTTTCTCCTATAAGCAGAAAATACCAAAAAGACTGAATTACACCATTTACCGTAATCACCTGACCGAACGGTATAAGTTACGATGTTGGTTAAAAAAATTAAGCACGCGTGCATAATGGTTGTTGTTACAATGTTATGTCCACATTATCATATATATGTAGAGACAGTTTAACGGTGTTTAAAGTAGTATTTGGAAAGCAAAAATAAAAGTCGTTTTAAACAATATATAATCGAATATTATATTGCTATTCGTGTTGGAGCAAATTACTGCAGTTATTAAGTCGTTCAATACATCAAATATATTATAGATATAAATACGAGTAAACTAAACATTTGACGAGTTTGAAAACTATGTTGGTATTTCGAACGATTATACAAATTTTATACTTGGACAATACGTTTAGAATTTCAAGGTCAAATTTTTTATCGTAATAATAGTAAAATATAGTGCTGCGCTGACAGAATTTTAGTTGGTCATGTCTATATAGTTCGATGAAGGACAGACGATACTAAAATAATATTGTTGAGGTGTACCTACCTATACATAATAGTATACTAAATTAAAAATTAGAATATTGCATAATACAACTKTACATTGTACAAATGTTAAATTTATGCATATGAATTTATATCGATGTGACAACTCATAAGATAAGGTTTGAAAAATAATGTAGGTACTTTCTTAGAACTATGTGTTATGAAGCATAGAATATACACAAAAAGATATTTGAAAAATTTCTTTATCGTAAAATACGATTTTATTTCTGTTTTTCTCAGTGTAATAATTTCAGATGTTGAAGTGGAATATTTGAAAATATTCGTAGTTATGACTTCAACTCTGTCAACTCTTCTTTTTATTATAATGTTGGCAGTTAGCTATACA